TTTGCCACACTTGATTTGTCTGATGGCCATGCTCATTTCTTCAATTGTTGGTGGGCCAACATCGATTGGGAGGTCCGTGAGTGCTGCTTCGATGTTGGGTGGGTTCAGTGGGGCTGGTCGATTCAAGTGTTCTACCCACCTGTTTCGTTGTTCTTCAATGTTGGTGATTACCTTGCCTTCCTTGCTTTTCACTGGTCGTTCTGGTTTACGGTGATTTCCAGAGAGTTTCTTTGTTGTGTCATACAGTTGTCTCATGTTTCCTTCTCTGGCAGCCTTTTCCGCCGTCATTGCCAAATCTTCCACATATTTACGTTTGTCAGTTCTGATGCTCCTCTTCACTTGCTTGTTTACTTCTGTGTATTCAGCCTATGCCTTGGCTTTTTCTGCTCTTGTTCGACTGGTATTGATTGCTCCTTTCTTGAATCTTATCCAGTGTATCGACCGTGATCCAATCCTTGTGATGGTGCTTCTTTTGGCCCAGAACCTCATGACATGTTGAAGTGATTGCTTCTTTTATCTCTTTCCAGTTGCTCTCCATCGTAGTTCCTTCTCCATTGAGTAGATCATGAAAGGCTTGGAACTTATTGCTGAGGGTTATCTTGAATTTATTGAGTTTGTCATTATCCCGAAGAAGAGCCGTATTAAATTTTTGTGATATTGTCCTCCCCGTTGTCCAGTGCCTCTTGAGTTTCAATTTCATCTTGGCGACCAGCAAGTGATGATCTGATGCGATATCAGCTCCTCTCTTTGTTCTCACGTCCTCCATCGTCCTCCTGAACTTTTTGTTGATGCAGATATGGTCGATTTGGTTCTGTGTGCTGTGATCCGGTGAAGTCCATGTGGTTTTGTGTATGCGTTTATGTGGGAATATAGTCCCACCTATGACCAGTTTATTGAAGGCACATAGATTTGCAAATCTCTCACCATTTTCGTTCCTTTCTCCCAGTCCGTGTCGTCCCATGATCTCTTCATATCCGGTGTTGTCAATTCCAACCTTGGCATTTAGGTCTCCCATCAGAATAGTCAGGTCTTTTGTTGGGCACTTCTCGACGATTGACTGCAGCCTATCGTAGAATTGATCTTTAGCGTCTTCATTGTATTCGTTGGTAGGCGCATAGCATTGGATGACGTTCATTGTAATGCCCGTTTTCTTTGTTTTGAAGGAGGCTTTGATGATCCTTGGTCCATGAGATTCCCATCCTATAAGTGCATTTTGTGCTTGTTTGGACAGCATCAATGCAACTCCTTGTGTATGTGTAGCATTTTCTTGTTCATGTCCAGAGTATAACAGCAGCTCCCCTGAAGCTAGTCGTTGTTGTCCAACTTGCGTCCAATGTGTTTCACTGATCCCAAGCACCTCTAAATTGTATCTCCTCATTTCTGCAGCAATTTGGAAAACTCTCTGTCTCCCACATTGTGCGAGCATTCCATGTACCTAAGTAAATGGTTGCTCTGGTTGTCAGAAGGGGCATCGGCCTCGTGACTTCCGAAGAAACTCGGCTTTCATCATGAGACGTCATAATTCTTCTAAACGAAGACCTCCTGACTCCCAGGGCAGAGTTTAAATGGTTTGAAAAATTTTTTCTGGTTAGCGTTATTTTAGCGAGTTAGTTTTCTACGGGATGGGGTCGCTAACCCCATGCCCAACCCTCCTCCTTTATCCGGCCTTGGGACCGGCAGTAGCCCCCGGAAGGACTCCAGGCGGAGTTTCGAATATCATTAGTCTTTCATTAACCTGCCCAATCTCTTTGAATCTTTGTTCATTTCCGGTATTTGTAGTCTTACCAACAATCTTTTGTCACGCATATCGATGATTTAGCGTTTCTCTTTGAAAAAGACTTAGACTTTGTAAAAAAAAATGGCAGCTATTCTGAAGAATGTTGTCTGTGTTTTGCTTATGATAAGAAAAAAGCAGTGTATAGAATACATAAAAAGGAACTTGTTTTCTTTTTGCATTGAAAATCAAAATCTTGTAAAAGTAAGTTTATGGTCTAAATTAGACGTGACAAGAACGCTGAGCAATAATCGACCAAATCTAATCTGGCTTACCTATATGTCCTTGCATAATTAAATAATGACATCTATATTCTTATAGCTTTTTGTGCGATTCCAATTCACCAACGATATATTATGTTTTCTATGCAACAAATATTGATATGTTGGATTTATTTCCATAGTCATAAAAGTATTGCATAATAATCACAATCTGTGCAATTTCTATTTTTTTTAATAGGATTATTTCTCAGGCTCAAACCGAAGCTCTTAACGCTATAAAAGAGCGTGATCGAGCATTAGAACAGTTGTCCGATTATGTTAGATCATTTGATAATCGTGTTCAAGCTGCTGAGAAAGCAGGTTTGTCTTAGTTTTGATTGCACGATATTATTCTAAGTTTGATCTATTCATATCTAATTCTTAAATCATCCTAGAAGTACAAGAGTCATCATTACATGTGTATTCATGTATTTCACAGAACATTTCCCTTTATCTTGGGGAAAGGGTCCCCAAATACCCTGGTACAGCCGAGAGTGGGGATAATCAGCTCCCCCTCTCGAAATGCTCTCTTATGTCCACGTGCATACAACCACTGCCAGGGAAGTCTTACTCACTGCCTTCTCGCGGTAGGTATGTTGTTTATGAAATTGAGAGGATGAATAGCGAATGTCCGGTGCTTTACCCGGGTCGGTAGAAACGGAGAGTCCACATAGGGTAGTTGGAAAACTCTGATTCCAAACCAATGGTGTACATAAGTTCCAGGATCCTGAAGGAAGAAATGGCGTGTGAACCAGTCGTTGGTCAGTAGCTACATCTGACGTTGCTCCACTACTTTGTGGATCCAACCTTAAGGTCAGAGGCTCTAGGTGTTGCCCCCATGAGGAAACCACCTGCTTCGGTTTCAGGACCCGGGCAGTATCCCAGCCCTCACATAAATCGAATGATTTATTTGGTACCCCCTTGTACCAATGTTTATGTGTTCAAATAAATAACTCTATCCCACATCTCACATTAAATGTCTTGTAATTGTACATTAAAAAATAACTATATTTATAAAACGGACTTATTCTAAAGTTAATTTTAACTTATCTGTTTTTAGTTGAAAAAGAATTATCAGAACTTCGGGAAACAAACAGAATTTTGAATTTATCTTTACATGATGAACAAAAGGTCAGTTAGTTTTATTGATTAAAACTAAATAGAGGTTACTACTCACTAATTAATGTAAACACCTCAGTCCTGCAAGTAGATCAACAGTGACCGGAATAGTTCAGTGGTAACATTTCTAGTAACAGTTCTAAGTGACTTGTTCATTTTTCTAAAGCAGCATCATTCCCTTCAAGATTACAAATCCAATTTATTCCGAGTACCAAGCAGCATAAAACGTACATTCAAAGCTTTCTACAGATTGCTTCTTATTGCTTAACATCAAAGTGATTTATTTAAATTCAGAGACTAATTAGTATAGGAATGGGTCTTGTAAAGAAATGTACGCCAAATATTGGTTATTTAAAGTTCTATGTTTTCATAGTGAAAGATAATTTTGTTTTTACGTAGTGTCTACACAATGTATGTAAGATCCCTATACATGAATTAATTCTAAGTGATCTGTCAGTCGTTTCATATATGGATATTATTATATTCTAAAAATGTTCAGAAGTTTACAATATGTATTACAACACTTAGTCTCTTAATATTAAATTTCTTTATACAACTTATGCATAACTTTCAAGTTTCTTTTATAAAATATTCAACCCAAATAGTATGTCTACGATTGAGTTCTCTTCCCATTCTCATTGTTTTCTGTGGCGCATATATATTTGGTGCCCCCTTGTACTAATATTTGTGTTCAAATAAAATAAATAAAAAGTAGATGTTTAATCAACAATAAATATCAACGTCGCAAATCAACCAATAATCATTCACTTCTTTACATCGTAATAGTGCTATATATTCTATTCATTTCTAATACCTTCATAGTCAACGGTAAACACCTGAATATAATAATAAATGTCTGTAAACGCTCATAGTGATGTAAAGTGAATAGTCTAGTTAGAACTACGCTACCAATTCTATTAGTTCTATATATGAAAATATTTCTTACTAGGTGGGCTAAACATTTTTAGTTACTGTTACTTTTATTAGTTTTAAAAATGACTATAATGACCAGCTGAATGCTTGTTAGTGACACCTTTTTTCACTGATCAGATAAGGCTGATCAAAGTAATGATTACTTATTTCTTTTGTCTAACCTCTCTACCTCTTTCTCAGTAATTCGTCATAAAAATCTGGTTAAATTATGAAACCTGTTTGGTACTACGTATCCAACAGTCCATACTTTATTTCTATGTATGAACGTTTCTCATCAATGTTTTACAGAAACTATACTTCAATGGAACGAAGTAGAACTAATTCACTGTGTGCATTAGTCACTGTACTTATTTTTAGTTTCTTCGGTCCTTGTCAGTTTGGGAGTTGATGTTTTCTCAGTATAAACAAAATAAGGTTTTTTCCTTGACTTTTATCGGCTTACACTACTTACAGTCTTGTTCTGTGAAAATCTATCCTTTAAAAGAGGCTATCCAAACACCGCGAAATTTATTCCACTATATCATCAAAATGTTTTAAAATATGATTTCCTATCGCTGAGAAATATATAATTCCAATTATAAGTAAGTAGTACGAAGTTATTAAATCATCTAGACAAGTCCCGAGTTTTTCAGTACTTGAGCAAGAGTTTTTTTATTTTTACGGTTAGCTAACCTATCTTTTTTTTACCATAACTATTAAATTTATTCCAATGGCAATATAAATACATTGAAGTAAAAGTCCTTTCAAATTTAAATAATATTTTACTTTACACTTTACTTCCCATATTAGAAATTAAAAGAATGTTCAGATCAATTAAAAAGTGAGAAACTAACTAATAATGATCTTGAACAAAAGTATATAAATGAAACTGGACATTTAAAAACTCAACTCTCTGAAACGGATATGAAGCTTACCAAAGCTTTAACGGAACTACGTCGGGCTGAACGCCGTGTAGATCGAGAAATTAATGAAAGAAAGTTACAGGTGACTTTAAGATTTTGTTTTCATTTTCTTATGAACTCAAAGAGATATTTTCGGCATACAACCAGATTAAAATCATGTTTTATAAAATGTAGAAAAGACAGGTTTACTAATTAAGATATCCTTCGAAGTAGTAGATGTACTTAACTTCAAACAATAATTTGAGCGTTCTCAATTGTTAACCTTTAAAGACAGATGACGTGTCTGTACATGATTAGATCCAACGTAGTTTCATTACAATACTTATAAGAAATCTATTTCAGATTGGGACTCATTCCCGTTGTTAAGAATGTAAATTTTCATTGACGCTACCCATTTTATTGTAAATAATATTCTTTTATCTTTCTCCTTAGTACGATTCTAGGTTATTACGAGCCTTATCTGGATATAACAGTTGCTTATATTAAGCATTTTTTGACACTGTGCTTCTGTTATTACTTCATATAATAGAATTACAGTTTGCGTTTGTGTGGTCATATAATTAAAACAATTCCTGCAAATGACTCATATTTGACATCAATACAAGCTAAGATAGCATTTTTCAGTTTATCGAACTAGTTATTTCATATACTCATATCCAAACACCATCTACTTCAAATCACTATTTTTGCTGACATAAAATTAGTTTCGGAGGGGAAGAGGCTTTTCACAACGAAATATGACATCAATTAATGATGTTATCGTTGGTCGGATCCAAGTGCCCTAACTTTTCAGATGGGTCAGCTGTCAGGTGATATAACTCAAAAGCTGCTAGTGGCACAGATGTATCACTATTTTCCTCCGACAACTAGACTATTTCCTGTTTTTCTTCATTGCTTTCGTTCTATTTTTTTACACAGGTGTTATGTTCAAGCCGAAAAACATTCGTTCAAGGTTCTAGTTACTTCCTTCCTGTGTATTTAGTTCCATGTAGTAATATTTGTTTAGTGTTGTAACTATATTGGACATATATCTAGTACTTCCAAGACACAATTGTCGTAGGAACATAACCTGTGTATAAAATTAGAGGTCTTAAACTAGTGAGATGCATCTAAAGGCAAATCGATTGTAGACAATTCTCCCACTTTTTATCACAATTTTATCTTTAGTTTTTTCTTCGTTGGTTCAACACATAGATCAACAGTATTGAGAATACCTACAAATCCAAAATCCAAACTCTAGAGAATGCACTTCATTCGTTTTATCCAGAAACTTATCATTGCTATGGTAACAATACAGCGAAGTCATCAAATGTTATTCAAAAAATGACGAGTCCAGTAGTACCTGCATTTACAAGCCATATTGGTAGGTTTATTTTAAGTCGCTTAACTTTTTCACATTTTAGATCTGGATGAATCAATTCGTAAACTTGACCACCTTGCTGATCGACTAAATAGCGATTTGTCAAGCGATTCAGATGCTGGAAAAGATGTTGATCAGTGACTTGTAGAAATATGAAGGCTGTACATATTTTTGTTTGTCTTTACCGTGATACACTACATCAAAATTATACTAATATAGGAAATGTTAATATACATATAACCAGCGGAAAATTCCCTAAATGTAATTCCTATTTATGAAGTTTTTGACAGTGTGCCATTCAGAAATCGCCAAATTATAAGTGCATGTGGTTGACCAACAAATGGCTTAATTTTTCAAGGAAAATATAAACCACTGATAGATTTGATTTCCTAAAGAACAAATAAACAAATGGGTTCACATACAATCAATTCAGTTTAGTTAAATAAACTTCCTTTCTCACTATCCATCTTTTCTTCCGAGTAGTCGGGTTTGTGCATAGAAAGTATGTATCAATATTGACTCGAGAACAACTTTTACTTCACTCGCTTAAAAACAAACGGATTTGTATACTGCATGGTTTCATATGAGTAGTAATTAAGAAATTAAAGTGCACTAGTACACAAACACTCAAATAACATGGAATTCGGCAAGAACGAAATTATTAAAAAATAATTATCGTGAATTGAGTGTTCTTCTTGACCTCATACCGTCTAGATGTTACCTATTGTAAATTTTGTTTCAGCGTACAAATTGCTTAGTCTACAGAGCTGATTACTCATACTGTATGTCTGCTATATGATTTCCAGAGTTACTAGATGTGAAAAGTAATTGTTAGCCTAGTTAGCACCTAATTTAGTCAACATGTAGCAACTTTTCATAACACAGTATCGACAAAAGAACGTCGAGATGATATAGCTTTTCCTAAAGCTTTCTTGTGTGTTTCTGAACTTAATTTTCATAAACTGATGTTAGCTAAAATATTCGGAGTAAAAAAGTTTCCAATTTGATGTAAACAAATCAAATTAACACTTTAATTTTGACAAGCATCATGTCATAAATTATCGGCTTCATTTAGAAGTACTCTTATGCAAATAAAAGTTATTGGCTTGAAGAATTTGTTAGCAAATGCTACTTTGTAGCTTTTACTTACTCTACAGCACTACTTATAAGTGAGCAAGTGCTTCTCATTGTAAATCTCAAAATATGCACTGTCCTAAATGTGAAAATTCCCAGAATTACGACGCTTTTGTTGGGTCGTCTCCAGATTTATTTGTATATATAGAGTAAGCTTATTGTTTGGCGAAACGTTATCCTGTGGACAAACTATTGATAATCTTTTGAGTAATATTCATGAGAGAGTCACTAGCATCAATAACAAGGTATTTCTCATCTTCTCCAAATGACTCCAATGTTTCTAGCTGACTTTCTATAAGTGAAGGGTGTGCAAAATGTCCCTTGCGCTCACTGACCCGCTTCTCTAGCAGACTTTTATTTGCACTTAGCAACACAAAAAGTGTCTTTGTTTGGTTATTTGCATCGTTGCTACTGGATAAAACATTTCGGTAGGACTTTTTCAAGGCACTGCATGCTAATATGGCATTCTTGTGTTGCACTAACTCACTTCTTAGTGACTGAAGCCATGGAAAACGATCTTCATCATTCAGCGGAATACCCATAGACATTTTTAATCGATTTCCTTCAGAATGATAGTCATCACCTTCTATAAATGGCCAGTTAGTTCGAATAGCTAACGAATTTCCTACTGTTGATTTCCCACAACCACATGGTCCCATAATTACAATGATCATATTGATTTATATTGGGCCTATAAGTAGAAAAAATTGAATCCTGCGATTAGTATTTTGATTACTGACAGGAACGTAAACTGTATAATGACTAAACTACATTTGATGTGTCTAGCTTAAAAGCATCAGAATAAGGGAGAAACTCCACAAAGAGATTCGGTGTCAATGAGGTGAAAATTCAGCCGTCCAGTGCCTTTTTGATTACTCTTGGATAGTCAGTTTTCCTAGTCATCTCAACCAATGAGACATTTCTCGAAGTCAAACCTTTAATGTTACACTTCTCGCCATTTCACAAAAATACCTCCAAGACTTCCCAATACTTTCACAGGTCAATTAGCTTTTCTATCCAGTCGATCTGAGTTAAAATATTGGTGTATGCATGAAAAACAATATATTCGGAAAAATCAGATTACGGTAGTAAGCGTTTTTAATAAGATTAGTGTATAATTTATACGTTTCCGTTGTCACTGAGATGTATGCTTATCGTCTCTTTGATTCAAAAATGTAATAAAGACTAGCAATTAGTATAGGGTGTTCTGGTAAACTTGAATAAAAATGTGTCAAGGCTTTTATACCCGGTAGGATGGATCCATGCTGATGGAGGACACGACGGATACATACTGCTAAACGCATCACATTTCCTTCCAAAATAACTTCGGTTTTTCCCTCATTTCATGAAAGAAACCTCGTGTTGAGATGTAAGTTATTGTAAGGTCTTATTTACACTATCTGGTAGAAATTCCGATGTCAGTAGGCCGTGACTCACAAAAGCAGTATTACTCTCTATGCGCTTCTAAAATCGACAATTGGAAATATCTCTTTATAAGTAGTCCTAAATAATATAAATCTAGTTTCGTAGTTTAATTACGTACATGTGATTTTACATGCCATTAAATGTACGAGGATTTCCGCTTAGCAGTTAGCCACACCGTATCAATATACTTAATGAAGTACCCGAGAAAAGCAAGCTAGGAGCAGTCTTGACAAACTAGGGGCATAAGCGTAGTGCCGAAGGACAATTGGTTGCGGCCGGTTGTACATCCTTATTTGAGTCGTTTTAGACGAGACGACCGCCCGATTTTAAAGCCTTCATCGCTGGAGACGGGAATCTTTAGAAAGGTGAGGTGTGACATGCTTAAACCTGATCCTTACTAGCTCCGAAATTGGTGGGAAGCCACTATAGTAAACTTTGGAAAAATGGCAAAAAATACCCTAAATTTCCCCAGGATCTAAGAGAAATGGGCCTACATTTATTAAGAAAACTCCAAAAATTTTCATCATTTTGGGGAAAAACCCAATGTTTGTAGAAATTTTCAAATTATGCGAAGCGTATTATTTCAGAATATTATTTCATATCCATTGGATTATTAAACCTTAAAATATTAAATTACAATGAATATTCGTTAATTTTTATACAATAAAGAATTTTGGTCAGGAATAGTCTATCGAATTTCAGGTCTTGTTTTAGTACGTCAAACAGGCACGAGTTGTCGGCTTTAACCCACTTTTCCAAAAAAATTCGAACGCCATGCAGGTGAGTTATTTGAACTGTCAGGAACTTCGATCACTGTTCATGTTCAGTCTTACTTAAGTTAATTGTCTCTTTCAAAATAATAATTTACAGCTCGATAAGATTGCTAAAAGGCGTGCTCAAGCCGTTAAAGACTTGAGGTTGCTGGGAAGTTAAAAGCTGAATTTACAAAACAGTATCAGTTAACGAGCAGTGACGAAGAGAACGACAATTCGGTTGCCGTCACAGAAGTAGGAACCACCTTGTGTGCAATATGTATTAAAACAAACATGTAAAGTGGTTTTAGCGAACCTGTTTTTGGATCACCAGCCACGTTCATTTTCTTTTTTTCTTGCGTCATGCAAGAATGTGTCTTACCATAATCATGGCTTGTATTATCTCCTTTTCCGTCACAAATAACAGCAACTAATTCAACTGTTTAATGTACCTGATACTTATCTACATAAATATCTACTATTAGGAACCCTTGTAACTCAGATATAAGTGCTGCAGACATGTCGTTGAAATCAGATGGTTTTAACTTCACCACTGCAGGACCGAACTATGAATACATTACTAACTGATGGACCAGTAATGCGATCTAAGATCGGTCACAGCTGTTGGTTAGAGCTTTTGAGCAAGCTCAGACCATCGTGGTTCAACTGCAGGTTCAATTCCGTGAAACGTAGTCAATTTTCGGGAATCCTCAGTACACTTGATTACGATCCCAAATGGAAGAACGTTCCTGATCCCACTATTTTGAGATCGGTGTCGTAGCATCGGTGTAGAACACTCCGGACGGATATTGGAAGTTTGGGAATGCGCACGCGAAAAAGTTCCAGAATTTCGTCAGGCTTTTTAACTGTAATGTCACCACTTTTCATCATCCTAATGACAATTCTGTTTACTTCAGCGAAGATATCTCTATTCGGCGAATTCATTTTCAATGCTTTACACTCGCAAATATATACTTATTTTTACAGGTTGATAATAGTACTGTTAATAAGCTTGTTATACATGTTGACAGTGAGGTTAAATAAATTCTGTTTACCTCTTTTTCATTGAAAGATGAATGGCTGGAGACATTTCTGAAACTACATTACCAATAAATTGTTAATAAATTAAGCTATACGACAGTTGGCTGTAGTGTCAGAACACTGGACGGAACTACATGAAGCAGTGGCTATATCTGAGACAATGTTAGTACACTGCTCTGTTGCTGGGGTGACCCTACATCTGTGACGGCAACTGGATTGTCGTTCTCTTCGTCACTGCTCGTTAACTGATACTGTTTTGCAAATTCAGCTTTTAACTTCCCAGCAACCTCAAGTCTTTAACGGCTTGAGCACGCCTTCTAGCAATCTTTTCGAGCTGTAAATTATTATTTTGAAAGAGACAATTAACTTAAGTAAGACTGAACATGAACAGTGATCGAAGTTCCTCACAGTTCAAATAACTCACCTGCATGGCGTTCGAATTTTTTTGGAAAAGTGGGTTAAAGCCGACAACTCGAGCCTGTTTGACGTACTAAAACAAGACCTGAAATTCGATAGACTATTCCTGACAAAAATTCTTTATTGTATAAAAATTAACGAATATTCATTGTAATTTAATATTTTAAGGTTTAATAATCCAATGGATATGAAATAATATTCTGAAATAATACGCTCCGCATAATTTCAAAATTTCTACAAACATTGGGTTTTTCCCCAAAATTTACTCAACCTTTGGGGAAGGCTATTACTTTTTAGGGATTTCCACAAAATTTGCACGAAGTTGGCAGTTCGGGTCCATCTGTTATGCGAAGACAACATAGCTGCGGATGCTGTATTTCTGAGGAAAATTCCTTACTGCAATATTTCTCAAATAGACTAGTTTATTCCTTGCAGTACTAAAAGTAAGTCACTTGTTATCCACCAAACTTTATATTTATGTCAGATCCTTCTGAAATACTGGCTTATCATCTTGGTTGCAAACTTCCCTCCAAAATTTCGCATCGTCAACGAAAGCTAACCAGACAATTTTTGCTGAGAAGGTCATTCATGTAAATTAAAAAAGAAAGAGATCTTAATATTGAACATTGTTGGACGTTACGAGCACAATCTATAATCCGAGAAATTGAAGTTTACATTGACTCTAAAACGTCTATAATAGGGTATGATGATGCGAGACAGTCCATTAATGGCGACTTGCCCAATTATTTGAGATTATCGTTGAAAAATGTATAACTGATCCTAACAAAAGATTTTCAGAAGTTAAGGTATGTAACATCAACCTTCGTCTCGATCAGGAATGGTTAGCAGACTCATGACATAACAGCGACCTTTTCCGGATCTATGTTATTGGAGTGAATTGAAGTTTATAGACAATAAATATTCACGTAGACCAGAGTGTATCAAAGACTCCATAATCTCAGATTGTTTTGAGAGAAGTGATACTAACCGAGTGCTTAATAGTTCTTTGCTTCCCCCTACTTTAAAACGTACCGTGATATGTCCTGGTTTCCAGTTTTCTGAGACAGTGTCCTTGCTTAGCGAATTCGAGGATAAACCATCAAGAGGTTTTCCGATGATTAAAGCCACTTCTCTCAGTATAATAGAATGAAATATATCAAGGACAGGGAAAGTGTCCCTGTTTGGAAGCTGGTGTTTCTGACACACTGAGTCAGCTCCTATGTTCACTTCTGAGAGTCCTGTCAAGTTCTATGTACTGCTCATGTCGATGTAGCTTGTATGTGACAGTCGACATGTTTGTATATTCAGTTCTTCCGGAAGGTTACTGGGGCCAATTTACCCAAAATTTACAACATTCCATTTTCGGCTTGTTTAAGAGAGGCTAGATGACGGGATAAGATTTTCGGATTGATGACACGTTTATTGATTTGCTTTATCTGATAATAAAGCCTGTATTTTTTTGTGGCATTTTAATTTGACTAAAATTTGTACGAACCGTATGAATATGCTATAAACACAAACCTATTTAACTCTATGTCTTACCTAGGCTAACCCTATTTGTGTTAAGATTGTAATAGGAAGCTAAACACAGAATTCATTGAAGGGATTTACTTCAAGCATTCGTTTATCTAAACAGATATTTGAGATCAGATGCATGAAAGTAATTTAAAGCGGACAGAAAATGGTGAGTGAATCAAAACATTTTGGTAAGGCGTGACTCAGTATTTATGGTCAGACAAAAATAGGCTTCAGTTACGCGATGGGTAGGACGAGCAGTGAACACACATGCAGTCATATAAAAACAGTCTAGGTTGATAAGCGAATAATTAAAAAGGTCAGAATGTGACTTCAAAAGATTAAATAAACCTATCCGTCCGAAATCTAGAACAAGCTATGTGGACTTGATGAAGTGCCAAACACTACACTTTTCTTGTTACCTTTTTCCACCGGTTTCTTGACTATTTGAACTGCTGACATATGCTGTTGTCACTGCTTGGTTTATATTCCAACCATCGATCCCTCTCGAGTCTCAGCGTTTGAAGGGTGTCATTCTTTATCACTGAACGTTGCCTGAAATTTCCGAGGAACGCTTAGGATACAGACTATTTTGAGGCTCATACGATCGTGTGAAGTAAGAAATATTAACGAGTGTCCACATCAAGTTGAGAGTGGACTTTCCAGTCCACCTGCTATAGATCGACTTGTAAATGTGATACATTCTGATTTCAAAGCTCGTTGTTAGTAGCATGTATAGGCTCATTTTTGCCGATAGAATTTAAGGCTATGACAGCATGATCACTCCTAATCAGGAGAGCCAGAATTATGAGGTCGTCAATTAAGAATGCTTCATTTGTAAATATTCAGTCTAAGTGTGACGACGTCTCACTATTTCTTTAGGGAACTGCTGGCTTCACATTTTCGAATAATCCCGGGCCTTCAGTAAGGTTGAAAAATAGAGATGCTGTAGAGCTCTCACCTCCAATATACGTGTGTTCAGAGAAGTTGACTTTAAAATGATTGAAGTCTCATAGAATCAGGATATGAGTGTATCCGAGACGAATTGAACAGGAAAATGCATCCACTATATGGTTGTCTAACTCGGTTTCAGCAATGGACTTCCTGTAAATGACTCCACTTAGAAATCTCGAGGTGTCAGTCAATTTTACTGAGCGCTACACCAATTCGTCAAGGTTGATAAACTCTTGAGTGTACACTTGACGCGCAACCAAACAACATCGCACGTACAGAGCTGCTCCACCCTCCATTCCTGTTTCTCCGTCGTTGCGAAACAAAGATAAGCCGAGTATCGTTAGCTCCTAGTCCGTAATTTCGGATGTCCATGTTTCAGATATTCCTATCACATGTGTATTATAGACTTACTTAGTTCACGCAACTCATATTTCTACCGTAACTCCGCCTGTATCTCTTCCAGAGTTACTGCCGGTCCCAAGCACGAGTAAAGGAGGAGGGTTGGGGATGGGGTTAGCGTCCCCATCCTGCAGAACACTAACTCGCTAAAAAACGCTAACCAGATAAAATAACTCAAACCATTTAAACTCTGCCCTGGGAATTAAAATGTCTTTATTTAGAAGAAATATGACGCCTCAGGTTGAAAGCCGAGTTATTTCGGAAGCCATGAGGCTCATGTCCTTTCTAGCAAGCAATGTAAAAATTTTTATAGGTATATGGAACGTCCGGACAATGAGGGAGACCTGGAAGACCAGTCAAATAGCAGCGGAAATGAAGAGATACAACTTGGCAGTACTGGGAATCAGTGAAACCCATTGGACCCAAGCTGGACAACAAAGGCTAAATACGGGAGAGATGCTGCTATACTCCGGTCACGAAGAGGAAAATGCTCCACACACTCAGGGAGTTGCTCTAATGCTATCCAAAGTAGCACGAAATGCACTGGTAGGATGGGAATCTCACGGATCCAGAATCATCAAAGCATCATTCAAAACAAAGAAGGAGGGGATCACAATGAACATTATCCAATGTTATGCACCCACCAATGATAGCAACGACGACGTCAAAGATCAATTCTATGAGAGGCTGCAATCAATCATAGAGAAGTGCCCGAGAAAGGACCTCACCATTCTGATGGGAGATCTAAACGTCAAAGTCGGAATGGACAACACCGGATATGAAGACATCATGGGACTACATGGACTGGAAGAGAGAAACGAAAACGGGGAAAGATTTGCAAATCTGTGTGCATTCAATAAATTGGTCATAGGCGGTACAATATTTCCACACAAACGTATACACAAAGCTACATGGATCTCACCGGACCACACCACAGAGAACCAGATAGATCATATTTGCATCAATAAACAGTTCCGAAGGACAATGGAAGATGTGAAAACCAGGAGAGGAGCGGACATAGCTTCAGATCACCACCTGGTTGTGGCCAAATTGAAACTGAAGCTAAAGAAGAACTGGACAACTGGACAAACAGCACCACAAAGGTTCAATACAGCCTTCCTTCGAGATACTGACAAACTCAATGAATTCAAGATAGCTCTCAACAACAGGTTCCAAGCCCTACAGGATCTGCTGAAGGAAGAAGAAACTACTATGGAGGATAACTGGAAAGGTATCAAAAAAGCATTAACTTCAATGTGTCAAGAGGTTCTGGGCCTCAGGAAGCATCATCACAAGGAATGGATCTCTATAGAAACACTGGACAGGATCAAAGGAAGGAAGAACAAGAAGATATCTGTTGACAACTGTCGAACACGAGCACAAGCTGAGTACATAGAATCAAACAAGTAAGCGAAGAAGAGCATTAGAGTTGACAAGCAGAAATACGTGGAAGAACTCGCAACGACGGTGGCGAAAGCTTCAAGAGAAGGAAATATGAAACAGCTTTACGATACAGCGAAGAAACTAGCAAGGAAATATAGTAAGCCAGAGAGACCGGTCAAAGACAAAGAAGGCAGGCCAATCACTGAAATTCAACGACAGCGGAACAGATGGGCAAAGTACTACGAGGAACTACTGAATAGGCCAGCTCCAATGAATCCACCGGACATCGAAGGAGCTCACAGATCTTCCTAAAGATAACAATCCACTAACGACCGAAGAAATCAGAATGGCCACCAGACAAATCAAGAGCGGGAAAGCAGCAGGACCCGACAATATACCAGCTGAAGCGTTGAAGTCAGACATCGAAGTAACTACAAACACGCAATACCTTCTATTTAAGATCATTAATAATATTGTTTTTTTAATGGCTGTATTCAATATTATATTTCGGTACAATATAGAATTTTCAACACAGGGTATTTCAATAAGGTTCTTACACAAAAAAGGAAACAACGACAAAAAAGAGTGAAAAGTTTTAAAAAATCTGAAAAACTGTACAACTTTTCAGATTGGAGACATGCTAAGTATTCAGGTTATTGACTAGGTTAACTTTAACAACTTGTTCATCACAGAGTATATTTATTATTTAAGGTATTATAGAACTTTTATACTTTTGATTGCGTGCTTGGATTTAAGTGTAATTACGTCTCGTTCTACCAGAAGATATACAAGGAAAAAGATAAGTGTGGAGGGCATGGTTAGTGTCTGACAAAATATCACCTGCCATTTTAATTATTATCTCGAAAGATTTACCACACACCTTGCTAACTGCCTTCAGCACTCTCCGCAGTACAGCAAAGTCTTTTCTCAAAAGTCCGGTAAAGAATGATGAAGAACATTAAAGAATAATAGGTAATATGCAAGAATTGGCAAATTTTAAGAGTGAACGACGAGTGATCCCAAGAGCATGCAATCTCTTTATGTAGAAGATAGAAAACCTTCTACAATAACAATAAAACGTAAGAAGAACAAGAGAGATCAGAAGAAAAGGTAACACCAAGATAATTGACCGTCGACACTGTGTTTACCAATGATTCTCTAATGGCACAAGCATTATGGGATCTTAAAATGGTGTTTAAATGCCGTTCATGTCTCATGCTAAAGTTAACAGCTTCACATTCAGACGGATTAAGTATCGCTCATAATCAATACGAGACAAAATTTCATTCACTTCTATGGGATGTAAAGAGGAAGAGATAGGCATACATACAGTA